AGAATTTCAAGAACCAACGCTCCAGATCTAAATTACAATTAAATTTTATAACATTGTTTTTCTTATAAGAATGTAATAATTTAATTTGCCAAAATATTGTTTCCGGGTGTAAATCGAATTGCAGCAGTTGCGTTCGGAATCTAATCTAATTTGACAATCACTTTGTGTAACATTTGGGAAGGGTCGCTTCTTGCATTAATAAACCTTTAGGAGATAAACCGTTTGGTAATTGAAGCGACTTGTGTATGAAACATTTCACTTTTTTATTTATATCCAACGAGGCGAATGTCAAAAAGCTTTTCCGGTTTTCAAGACAGAAACGTTCTAACTCTCAGTAAAAGATCTAAAAAGTTATCTTTTTTATTAAAGTATTTTGGCGCCGGATTTTTTTCTATTTTTACGAGTCATTTACTAAATTATAGCCCTAATTATTCCTAGTATCAATTATCGTAATCCAGTGATGACAGATTAAAGCAATTGTCTGAAAGACGCATCATCTTCTCAATTAATTGAAATTACATCAAAGCAAATCTCTGCGCTTTAAATTAATTAAAGCTCTTTATTATTTAAAATAAACAAAAATCAAAACTAATCATGCAAAAATCAAACTAACCACAAGGGAAAATTTCAATCACGTTCATGAACTTCGTTTGACTGTAATTTAATAATGTGACCCAAGTTGCTATTAACTTCAAGGGTCAATTATAATTTTAGCCTTCAGCAAGAGGGATATTGTCTAGAAAACGGCTCTGTGAAAAAAACGCACTTTATTAAATTATTTTTCAACGACGTAGTAGCAACTTTCATTCGGCTTTTCAAACACAGTCACAATCGATTAAATTTTAGTTAATTAAATAATTACATTAATTAGAAGGAACAGTTCTATTCTCAACAGCAACTGAAGTTAATTTTCATTGCCTTTTTCGCCTTAATTAAGAGAAAAACGGAAAATATAAAAGCCGTTTCCGGTAAATTAAAGGAATACGCCGGAAAACATCCCTCACTAAAATCTTTTCTTTTGCATTCTGATTGTTTTACCAACTTCAATTACCTTGAACCACGCATTTCTAGAAAGTGAACTTATCTCTAACAGAATAAACAAGATAAAAACATAAATTAAGCTATGTAGAGTAGCACAGATCAGATTTTACCAAGTCAATACATAAGAAAATATTTTTTGTTATGCTAACAATATATTTTTTTTGGTTTACTGTAATTAAGAGGTAGCGGAATTAAAGAAATTCCTGGAAACATCCCTGTTAAAATTTTTTGTTCGTTTTCTTCTTTGTTACCATCCCACCACGCATTGTTTAACCCCTCGATCGCTTTTATTTGCAATTGTCCAAGACATGGTTTATGGAATACGTAGATAGCAGCATAATAAATGTTCCGTTGTGATGATGCGTTGATGTCAATAAATCACGTTTTGGACAGTGTATAAACCGCCACTGGAAGGATTTACAAGTTCCTGGATGCTGGCTCACTAATCCTGACACAAGTCAAACTTGAAATGTGCTAAAATAAAAATACATTTTTGTGAAATGCATTCGATTCGGTGTCACGATGGATAGGTCACTTTCTTTGTTTCAGAGAACTCGATTGGCTTGATCGAGCATAAGCATTGCTTCAGTGTGAAATAAAAATTTCACCTACTTAATATCCCGAAAGAGAATCTTGAAAACATTTGCAATGCATTTCATTTCAACTGCAATCAAAACAATTTTGTTATTTTGGGACAAGATAAAACAGTTCATGTTTACGTTGTGTTTCACTTTCAAAACTTGATGTGAAAACATGTCAATACTATCTGCAAGAATAAATTGGAATTTTAAATAAGAATTAGGGTGCGTGCAGATTTAATATTCAATAGAATCGTATTTGAGCTGAATATTTTATTATATTTGGGGTGTGATAATTTTACACGAAGTGACGTGACAAAATTAGTAAAGCTTTTATTATGAGAAGCTGTTGACGTTTCTGTTATAGGGATTAAAAGAGAGTCATAATCAACATTTTTAAATTTAGAACACTGAAAAATATTTTCAAATTAAACCCACACAAATACAATTTCTAATAAATAATTTGACTTACTTGAGTTTTGTCTATTATATATTTTTTTTGTGTAATGTATAATAAATCTGTCAGTGTTAGTGAGTTTATAAGACAGTTCAAGATAAATCTCATCCTAGCTCGATATATTATACTTTAAAACCTCATTTATTACTTGAACACAACTCAAAACATTTTATATCACACACATAATTAAACTTGTAATAAAGTGCTTTTCTTATTATTGTTCCATTTGCCAGCTTATTAAAGTTGTATAAATTTAAACATCTTACATTTTTGATAGCCAATAAAAGCCCGCAATTCGAGCTTTGTTACCGCCATAAAGCTCCCACATTTATTACACAACCAATACAAGACTTTATATAAACTCACACCAAAAGTAGCAAACCCTATTTCAATAAAAAAACACTTTTGCACGATTAAACTGAGCTACTTTTTACATGAAAAACTCGTATGCAAGAGGTAATTTTCCCGAGAAAAAGCTTTTTCTCAGAAATGCAGCAGAAGCACTCGGCTGACTTTAAAAAAACTTTCAACTTTACTCAATTAGTGTATTTGTGTTTTACGCATTTAAAAAAAATCAAGCTTTGAGTAAAATATTTGACACAACAGTTAGCTAAAGCACACACATTTGTTCTCAAATCATTCCGAAATGGTAAATTTCAAACACAGTTGGTGCGGAATAAATGACACTCATCAGAGCTTTCAAATTTTTCCGGTGAAAGCAATCTATTTTCATTGTTAATTGTTTACAAGTGTAATTGAACTGATTCACTAGAAATTTAAGACGTATCTTACTCAAGATCAAGTTACTCAGCTTGAGGAACTCGATCTCGTACTCTGAAACTATTAGAAGAAATTGTAGATGTCCACAAAAGCTCGAAAGCTTGCAGTTTCGTGCTGTGGCAAATATTGAGAATAAAATTTTTTTCGTTCGTATTTGGAAATGTATGATAGTCTTATCGGAAAATTAAACACAACTCAGGTGTTCTAGTTTATGTTTCAGTTTGAGTTGGTAATTAAATTCTGGGTGTTTTTAAATTCATATTGTTTTAGAAATGAAACAGGGCTTTGTTTGCAAATGCGACCACAGTTGATGTTAGATTGTTAAAATAATTGTTAAATACTTACAAATGAATTTATAAATAATTGCTTGTGCATTATAACTGCATTAATTTGATTTTAATTGAACAAACTAAATTAATGAAATAATGTTTAGTTTTTTTGTAAATTAAAATGATGTAAAATGTTGTTTTTTACTGCTTGAAATATTTCATAGCTTAACCCAATTTTCCTAATGTTCCAACTTCAGATACCAAGCACGAGTTTTAGATTTATTTCGCATTTGGAGCCCCTAAATGACTTTTAAGTTATTGATCTGAAAACGAAAAATTTAAATCACATTTTATTGCTACGAGCAATTAAGAGAAAGCCCTACTTTTTATAGAAAAATTACTACAGTCTTATTTAATTAGCTAGAATAAAAGAAAATAGTAAAAATCTCATTACAGTGGCGCATTAGAAAAAACATAACAATTATGTTCGTGAGAATGAAGCCAAACGAACCCAAAATCTTAATTACATATGGCCTTTCATGCCTAAATCACACTCTATCTACTCACGTAGATCCTTTACGGGATCAGTTTCTCTCACGAACTGGTAATCTCTCTGAAATTCTCCAAACCATCACAATAAATGGAAAAAAACCACTCGAATAATAACACAAGCACGCAAGTTTACAATTTTTTCAAGTGATGGTAAAAATTAAATAAAAATCTCGTCTGAAAACACACAATGTTTGTTGCAATAATTGAACTTTGAGACGTGTATAATTTCCCAGTGGTTTTCCTCAAGCTTTTGAATGATGTTCCTATTTTTTCTGTCGACATAATACTAAAACATCGACTCGAAGTTAATCTCAATGTTGAGTTCATAATGTGAGCAGAGAGGTCAACAACTGTGCCATCAACGCATGTGCATTCAGACGCCCTTTAATCCTATTCTTTTATTACAATCGCTCTCGAGAGCTTAGTAAAGATGTAAACTTATTAAATTCGGATTTGGGAAAATAAAGATTGCGTGACACTATAACCAGAAATGACGCAAATGGGCATTAAAAGTGGTGCGAGGCGATTTGGGGTAATCACCAAACATTAAGATTTTGCCTTTGTTGATAAGAATTGTTATTGCCACTTTCATCCATCACATTGGGCAGAAGGCAATTGGGGAGTGATGTTTTAATGGAAAATGGGGACACAATCGAGACATTGTTTCAAGTTGATAAAGTTACAACCACAACAATTAACCCCAATCTTGAAATAGAAATTAATTTGGTTACGAAATTGGTGGATGCGCCGGGAGACAATTTAAAAACTTTATCAAAAAATACAACAAAAAACCAAACAAAAAACTTTCAAACAACAACATACAATACATTTTAAGTTCACCAACAAGCTAAAAATTTAATGATTTATTACAGACCAGAATAGCATTTGATTAATGATCCATTACAAGCACAATCCCATTATGCAATAATTTGCATAAAATATTCTTTTAAACTCCATCTTATTTTTGTTAGAGTTAAATAAACCATAAGTGCTTGATTTCAAAAGTAGACCAAAAATAATTTTGTAATTAAAAACATGTCTGTGGGAGATGTGAATTAATTTGAGCTAAAGATAAAAATGATGCTTTAATAAATAAACTGTCATTTTACTTCTTTGACAATTTTTTTAATTACAAAACGTTGAGTTGGCCACACGATAAAAGCTCTTAATCTCGCGTTAATACTTTTCTGGGGTTTAGGTTTGCGGTCGATTCGTTTAATCAAAGATTACCAACGAGGCTAATTACTTCTTGAAAACGTGTACTTATTTTTAATGAGAGCAAAAAAATTCAAGTTAAAACTTTTTTAATTAAAATTTATCTAGCAATGGACCCATCGAACAACTCCATGGATTATGAGTCGACCACCATTGATCCGGAAAACTCGTACACGCCGTACCCGGAGCGTCCGGAAACTTACATCGTTCCGGTGGTGTTTTTCATCATTTTCATCGTGGGGGTGTTGGGCAACGGGACTCTCGTCGTAATTTTCCTACGGCATCGTGCAATGAGGAACGTCCCTAACACGTAAGAAAATTTGCATGTCCCGCTTCGCTCCTTCATTAAACGTTATCTCGGCCCTTTTAACCCGATTTAGAAATTCGCCTCGCAAGCTATTCTGAAAGGGAGCGGCCGGAGCTGACGACTTCTTTAAGAGATTGAAGGGATTTCCGGTCCCAATAACGTTTTACACTCGATTCCAGACGGAATTACCCGGAAATAAATGTGTAAAGTGGCTATCACTTGTAATTAAAATTCACCACTTTTTTCATAAAGTAATTACCTAAACTTTTTATGCAATAGTTAAAACGAGTTTTATTAATTGGGAATTTTGTTTCAAGTGGGAAAGTTTTAACGATGAAAACATACGCACTGTAAGTGGCTTGAAAAGGAAGGAGTTTTTTGGGTCGTAACTTAATGCGATGTCATATTTGAAATTCATCTTGTGAAATAGCATGAATTTTTCATTCATTTTCAAACACTTGTATTCAGATTTTTTCATAAAAATTACGTTACAACAAACTAGAAGTTAATTAGAATTCGGTTATTAACTAAAAATTGACATTTTGCCAATCCATGCATAGAACTATAAAGCACAATGTGCGACACAAAAATGTATAATCTGTTTGGGAAATGCAAATATGTAATTTTGCTATATTACGTAGGTACATTTTTTTAGATAAATAAAATTCTAAAAGCACTTTTTTTACCTTGTACCAAATTAACTTTTCAACCAGCTCAAAAAAAGACAAATCTAATCCAATTAATATTTTGTATTTATCATTGCTTTATTATAAGGTTTAATTTTAAAAACAATCTTATTTTTTATTTTGTCTGACGGACAAATAAAAAATTAATGGCTTTGTAATTGCAATTTTTTTATGCAAATTCTGTAAAAATGTAATATTGTTTTTGTAAATTCTTGCCTTTTAATAAAAAGTACCTAAATAATAAACGCTTTTCAATCAATTAAACTTTATTTTCATTAAAATAAAAAACAACAAATTGTATTTAAACTAATTGATCTAGCGCATCCACCATTTATTCAATTTTAATTAAAATTGACTTCTTAATTAACTGTTTTTAGAAATCACTTTGTACAAATAAACATTTTGATAACAGTTGTATTTTAACCGTGTGGTAAACCTCAAAACGTCATTAAAACATTTAATCCAATGCATATGTAGAAGAATTTTTAAATTTTAGAACCACAAATGGTGGATGCGTCGAAATAAAGAGAATTGCAGTGCAGGTAATAAAAACCTAAATTTAAAAAAATTGTTCAACGTTGAAACAGCATTGTGTACTGGTTGTACATTTAAAAAAATGTTTAGTGAGAGGTGTATTCAATATTTGATGTTTAGTGGATTTTGCAAATCGAAAAATTTATTTTTTATACAATTATGTGTACAGTTGAACTTCACACATACAATTAATTAAAAAATTGTTAAAAAACGTTATTTAGGTTATGTGTCCAAAACTGTTCTTTAATGCTCGAAAGTCTTTTTGTCTCGACTTTCACGCATCGTTTCGTACACTTTTCAATATAAAAATTATTAATAAAATTGAAAGTTTATAATTACAAATATTTCGAGCGAGCAAATGTTACAAAAACATTTGTAACAAGTCATCCGTGAACAAATTTACTTCGTTTAATGTTGCAATTTTTCTGTATGAAACTTTCAATTACTTCCCCACATTACAAAATGAAATATTTTTAACATCAAATACCGGTTGTACATTGTAACCTAAATCAATTTACGTTTAACTAAAAGTATTGCTCTTTTTAACTCCCCAGTCGCACTAAATAACAAAAAATCCTTCAATACTTGAAACCACACGTTGAAAACTTTCACATAATTTACGTGTTAATCTCCTTCCTGTTTATCTTTATTGTTCGGCGAATTTTCATTGTCGTCTTGCCTTATTGTTCGAGGTTTGGACCGTTTCAGTGTTGATTTTAATGTATGCATGCGATTTATGCAAATCTGGACCCTTTCCGGGTCGAGTAACTCCCTTGACACCCTTCCAGATACATTTTTTCGCTAGCGTTGGCCGACCTTCTGGTAATCATCACGTGCGTGCCCTTTACATCCATCTTGTACACCCTGGAGTCGTGGCCTTGGGGGGTGGTCATGTGCAAAGTCTCTGAAACCTCCAAGGACATCAGCATTGGAGTCTCCGTCTTCACGCTAACTGCACTTTCCGCCGAGCGGTATTGTGCTATTGTCAACCCTTTGAGAAGACTACAAGTGAGTTTTTCTAATTTAATTTGAATAATTTGGCCATTAATCTCAAGTGAATTTGTTGATAGACAAAACCAATGACTGTTATCAGCGCCGGTATGATATGGCTTCTGGCGACCGTGTTGGCACTACCAGATGCGATCTGCTCAAGGCTGCACGTCATCGACTTGGATAAAATGTAAGAAAATTATTGTTGAATTATTTCCCATTTCCGGGCGGCTCATAACTATGTATTAACTAGTTTATCACCGGAAATTGGATGTAATTTTGCGGAAACAAGTGAAGGTCAGGGTTGATACGGGTGAGAAAAGCTTAGAGTGAGAACGAAACTTCAATTATTGTTTTGTTGAGAAATGTTGTGCAAAAAATAAACATTTTCAAATTTTAGAAATGAGTAAAAAAACATTTTTGCTCCAAATTTTGAAAGTTATAAATTTACTATGCGTCGCAACTATGGAAATTTATGGATAGAAGCAAATCGGCTAATGCTTTTAAATCACCAGACACCTTCCGGAAGACCTATTAATAACACTAACCAACATTTGAAGCACAGTAGAAACACATAAAATTTAGAATTATTGTCCATTTGAGTGGATGATATAGGTTCGGGAACATTTTTCTCTTTAAATTATGATAAATCATGTTTATTCATCTAAACAAACTCCCGCGTTAAAAAAGCACCCCATTTCGTGAATTCGCTCAACACTGGTATGTTTTTATTCCCGGCCCAATTTGTCACTTTTTCCATTTCTTTCATTATTCATTCACAAGTCGCTCACCACCACCCTTCTCAAAAATTCCTCATCGAATTTAGATGAAACGCACGCACTTTCGACTTGTTGCGCTTGATAATAAGCTTAATAAGATTTCGGTGTGAAACACCTGTTAACAATTTTTATTTGATTAAAGTTAACTTTCTTCCATCTTAATGATCGACTATAACTTTGTAAACTTTTTTTTATTAAACTAAAAGAAACAAAAATCACGTTCGACTCCAACTGACTGAAATAAATTGGATGGAACTATTAGCAGGGAAGTTGGAAGTATAAGTTGGTAATTGTTGTTGTGTTATTCGACTAGTTTGGGTAATTTCAGGCAATTTTCTGAACCATTTTCAAATTATTTAACGGGAATGTGTGCAGGTGGTAGTGAATTGTGGTCGCAACACTCACGGTAAATTACAAATAGAATAGTGACGGCATTATCACACGTCGTACTGGGAATTTCAATTAAGCTAAGAAATGTAACAACACTTACCTCAAAAATGTAGAAATTATTTAAATAAAAATAATTGTAGAAAGAAAACGTATCAAAAATCAAGCGACTGTAAATATACAGGATGTTCCGTTAATACGAATTTAAACAGGTGATAGCATATTCAATTTTAAGACAAAAGTTTCCTATGAACATGTATCAAAAAATGTTACGTAAGCGAGCTACACCTCCTGAAAGAGATGCGTTTTTTAAAATTACAAAAGTCTTAAATGGTGAAACAAATTTAATTTTTAATTTTTATCCTTTTTATGGTCTGTAAGACAAATTGTAAACTGATTTTATTTAAAAACGGTAGGCTGAATCGAAAAAACGCAAAAGACCTCTTTTTTGTAAAAAAACTATGAAATTTAGAATTCTGTGGCCCCTGAGTAAAAATTTCGACATTTTATCTTTGAATTCGTTTGGGTGTATAAAGGTTATCACTTGTACCAAATTTTGAAATTTTATCTACAATGGTTGCTGAAATATTGGAAAAAATCCATTAAAAGATGCACTCCTTTCAGGGGATGTCGCTCCCTTATTTAATATTTTTCGATACATGTTTATAGGAAACTTTTATCTTAAAACTAAATATCCTATCACCTGCTTAAATTTGTAACAATAAAAACGGAACATTCTGTATAAATGTATTTTTTTTACCTCAAGTTAGTGTCAAATTTTAAATTTTAGTTTGGCAACCTTGACTTTCAACCTTTTATAGGCGATTGTCATTCATTGCGACGGGCGGCTGCTGATTAATTAGCCGACACTTGAAACATTCTGATATAAGAAATTAGAAGGATTACTAATAATTCAGTGTTGCCAATAGAATTTTTGTCACAAACATTGATGGTCACCCGGTATAAATAATTCAAACAAAAACGCCAAAGTTTAACAATTTACTATCTCTCAACTTAATCTTTCCCATTTAAAGTTTAGTAAAATTTCCAGACACATTTATTTGAAATTTCGATTTCACTTAACAAAGTTGAGTCCCCAATGCATCGAATGCTTCATGTGCTCTATAAGCCGTACACAGACCAAACTATTTAATGCCTTAAATTACTCAAGAGCAAGTTTTGCATACAGACACTCATTTAATAGCATCCCTGCTCATAAATCTCACAGAGCAAAATTAATCAACCTCTGGAAACCTCTCTCAACTTTTCCATTAAAATAAAAACCGAACTCAAAGTTTTCCTCCGAAATCGGACAATTTTTAATATTTTCCAGGAACACGTCAATAGTGATTTGCTCTCCATTCCCGAGCATCACCCCCACGCGCTACAGTCAATACAACATCGCCCTCAAATCGCTGATCTACTACATCATCCCTCTGTGCATAATCGCCTGCTTCTACGTCCTTATGGCAATCCGTCTCCACGCCAGCGCCAACGACATGCCCGGAGAAGTCCGGGGGGCGCAGAGTTTAGCCCAGGCGAAAGCCCGGAGACACGTGGCTCGCATGGTGCTCATTTTCGTCTTCTGTAAGTAGAAAAAAGTCGCACCATTCTCCCCACGTCCGCCTATACTTTTATGCGTCTCCATTCAACAGCCTACCCTTTTTTCAGTCAATAAAAGAGAATAAAAAATTTCACTTTGTTGCAGAAGAGATACAAAGTTATATCAACATTTTTTTAGGAGTTTTGCGGTTCCATTGATCTTGTTCGTGATGAAGCTTCAGTGTTATTATACGTTTTTATGGTGTCTGCACTGTATTGACGTTCTCAAAGTGCTATTATCTGAGTCATAGAAAACGCCAGTAGGAAAGATAAATTTATTACTGAGCTAAAAGCTAGAGACATGATTAGAATATGGGAAAGGAAATTTGGAAAATTAATTTATGTCCCAAAACCACTTCTGTATTTGCATATTCTAAATTAATTAAAATAATAAATATCTCAGTTTTATGAAACTTATAAAACATTTTTTATTGTCACAACCTTAAAACTTGAAACAAAGAAAGAAATAAAACCTCTCGTAAAGTCCAGCAAAAAGTTTAATTTTTTCTCCCCTTAAAGTTAGTTTAGGACACGTTAAATAAAAGATTCGTGGTCTCGTCTGCATTACAAGTCCCACAAATGCTAATACTCACTCCCTTCTTAATAAAATCCTACCTTTAGGTTCAAGAAACATCCTGAATCCCTAATTCGAAGGAAATACATTTATTATTATTAATCCCGGAGATTGCCAAATTCAAACGCACACATTCTATTAAATTATCATCACAATGTGTGTAAAGCTAAAGTGGGGCCATGAAAATACATTCTTTAATCTCTTTCAAGCGTGTATAAAATTTACATACAATTTGTTCCAAAGAGAAAACCTTTCAGAATTACAATAAAGGCAAGCATAAAATTAAATACTTTACACGAGTTGAAAGCGAAGTTTTTTTTGGATTGGGGCACTTTTCCCATCGACCGAATTCGCATCGGTAAAACTAAGTAATGGAGATGTGGACATAAAAACCAGTTTAGTGGCCATTAGTGGCTACATTTTAACACGGAGTCGTGGATAAAATCTGGTTGAACTTGGGAAGTAACTAAAACAAGGTTCAAAAAGTCTTGAAATTTTTATCAGATGCAAAATGTCGCGGTTAAAAGTTGTTTGACTTTAATTTTAAGAATTTTATTTCAATCCTTCTTTAATAACGATTTTAACTATTTGCAAAAATGGTGGATGCGCCGGGATTTTCAAAGCTCATATTACACAAGGCGACAAAAAAAAGTCATGTCGTGACAACTTGACAATTTTTATATCATCTTGTTCGTCTCAGTGAGACAAATCAAATGCACTAAAAAAAAATTTTAAAAAGTCCACACACGTTGAACAAAATAATTTTTTTCTAATTTAATTGAATTTAAAATACTTTAATTTAAAAAATCATTACTCAATAACTATTAGTCCAATTTCCTTCAAATAAAGATAATTCTAAAGGGATGGACTTGCCCTTTAGAATGATATGCAATTTGAAATTGAATATTGGCAAACTTTTCTTCGAACAGTGAAGTAAATCGAAGTAATCTAATAAAAACCCTACGACTAAATTTTTTTTCATCATTACCATCGTGTAGAGCATCTTTTTATTAGTTGTAATACAAATTTTTAAAATAATATACCGAGTAGTTTTTAAGATATGATTTTTTGAAGTTAAGGTTTGCTGTTCAGGTATTGCGCCATATAGGAGAAATGCATGTTAATCTTACTTAAAATTGCATTTTTATAAAAGTATTTGTTTTAAGGCTCTTCTTTTGCTTAATTGACCATTTTTAAGCAAAAGAGGAATCTTAAAGCAAATTTTTTTTTAAAAATGCAATTTTAAGTAAGATTAACATGCATTTCTCCTATATGGAGCAATGTTTAATTAGCAAATCAAAACTTCAAAAAATCATATCTTGAAAACTACTCGGTATATTTTTTTGAAAATTTGGATTACAACTAATAAAAAGATGATCTACACGATGGTAATGATGAAAAAAAATTACTCGTAGGGTTTTTCTTAGATTATTTTGATTTACTTCGAACTTCTTCGAACACTGTTCGAAGAAAAGTTTGTCAATATTCAATTTCAAATTGCATATCGTTCTAAGGGACAAGTCCATCCCTTTAGAATGATCTTTATTTGAAGGAAATCGGCCTAATAGTTATTGAGTAATGATTTTTTAAAGTTAAAGTATTTTAAATTCATTTCAATTAAAAAAAAAATATTTAGGTCAAAGTGTGTGGACTTTTTGAAATTTTTGTTAGTGCATTTGATTTGTCTTACTGAGACGAACAAAATGATATAAAATTCGTCAAGTTGTCACGACATGACTTTTTTTTGTCGCCTTGTGTTATTAGAGTTGAAAACATTAGCAATATGTTGCCATTAATTCCGCCTTTGTTTTCAGTGTTTTTCATTTGTTTCCTTCCGCACCACGTGTTCATACTCTGGTTTCATCTCTACCCTTTGGCACAGGATGCATACAACGATTTTTGGCACGTTTTAAAAATCATCGGTTTTTGCTTGAGGTAAGAAACATTACAAAAATATAACAAAAAATTTAATATCGAAAACTGAACGAAAATTGAAAAAGCATTGTTATTTCACAGAAAAGCTCTCGCAAAGCTTTAAACACAGAACTGTCGAATTAAAGTTTGCTTTGCCGAGTTTATTTACATAAAAATGCCCGCTTCTGTTCCTTTACACTTTCAGTGTTTTGGTGTTTATGTAATAGAAACGATATCTTCAAATACAAATTTTTACAGAAAATAAACTCCAAATTTAATCGTTTTCTGTTTCAGTTTTTTAAATTCTTGCGTCAATCCGGTGGCTCTTTATTGCGTCAGTGGGGTGTTTAGGGCACATTTTAATCGCTATTTGTGCTGTCAAGATCCAAGATGGCCAAGGAATGCTATGTCGGGCGCAAATTGTGAAACTAGCTTCAATTCCACCTACAGAAGACACACACAAGTAAGTAAAAATTTCCATAATTAGTTTGTTAATAATTTTTTTGGTCTTGCAAGTTTTGAAGCACTTTTTTGCATGTTTACGTTGAAAGTAAAATATCTTTGAGTTTATTTAGATTGCACTTTAAGCCTTGTTCCCTTAATAAAGTATTTTTATTTTTTCTCTTTGGATAAATGGCTTAGAATATCGGCATCCTATAATGGATCGTCAAAGCTTCAACAAACAATTTCCTCATCTCTGTGTTTATCCACATTGTGTTTCAAACATAATTTTATTATGGAAACAAAAAAGAGGTCTAATTTCTACAAATTGTATCTTTTTGAAGAAAAAAATATGTCTCAATTTGAGTTTATGAATTTTTCTTTAAAATTGAAAAGTACACGATTTGTTTGAAGAGTTCGTTTGGTGTAATTAGATTTGCATTTTGAGTAGTTTTTAATATTAAAAGCGAGAGATTTGGATCTGTTTCTAAATTTACCTCTTTCCTCAAGAAATCTGTGTACCGGCTCTAAATTAAATACTAATTAATTCCAACAGGAAACTAAGTCTCATTCTTTCTTACTCCATAAAACGTGATTCACCTTTAATTAATAAATTTTTACTTCTTTTTCAAACATGTAAACAAATCATTAGAATTGTAAAGATTGCAACTTGTGAAAAAGATGAAATTTTTCTAAAGGTTTCTGAAATTTAAAATTGACAACGTGTAAAGAATTTCTACTCTTTGAGCTTGAATGTGACTGCAATCAAAAAATGTCGCGCTATATAATTTTAACCAGTGGGTGAAAACAAGCTCTGGTTTATTTGTTTATTCAAGCTCAAGGGTAATAGGACACTATTGACAGTTTAGTTATGTTCAGAAAAAAACCGAAGCGTGTAAGGATAAATTCTCCTCAAATAATCTGGCAGAAAATCGATAAGTTGAGCTATTTGCACCCAGTGTTTTCAATTAATTATAACAAAAAAACTGGTGCAAAAATAACAATACAACATTTTATTAAAATATTGTATTAAACACTTTCGTTTTTTGTAGCGGAAATGGTGGATTCGTCAGGTCAGTATTTTTATTTTCAAACAATAAATTTTAATTTAAACTTCTTTATAAACAAAATTAAAAAATCATTTTAAAAAAGAATTGTAATGTCTAGCACCTGAACCACAAAATTAATATAAAAATTGACCCTCGTGAGACTTTCAGACTAAATAATAAATTTTTTGCTCAAATGATAAGTGTGAAAACTTGAGTTCAATTTTTTATTGCTAGTTTTTTTAATACCTACCATTCAGCCTCGTTTGTTTTTTTTTAAGTCCAAAACTTGGGATTTATTGTCCTTTTTATCCCATTTTGACTTTTATTTCGGGCCATTTGCAAAACACGCCGAAATGGCATCCTGCCGCTATTAATACTCGCCTTTTTACGATGACGTTTTTATTACAGGGCACGACGATCGAAAATCCAAGCATCTACCGGAAAAACACCCTCGCCAAACGCAACATCCAAGAATCCAACTTGATAAATCTCGACACATCAAATAAGAACCAACTGAACGAAATCGGCATGAAGAATACGTTGATACTCCGTTCAGAAATGCAACTAGACAGAGGCGGTTTTTGTAGCTGAGGCTGGAAAACGATCGCCGAACATAAAATGATTTTTGACGAAGATTGTGTTTGAAGTCTTTTCGCAACGAATGTGTGCACTTACAGCACTGGTAAGTCAATTTTAAGTTAATTACTTGAAGAGTGTATGCGACATTTCGATTCGAGAAAATAAAACACAGAAAAATTGACAAGAGGAAGGAAATATGCATTGAAAACGGGCATCCATACATACAAATTGGAAAGTCTGATAATTCTGTTCAAATGAGAACACATAAATCAATCTGTGTTTTGCTTCTTTAGTTCAAAGCACGTTCGAAAAACAATTTAATGGAAATTTTAATTTGTTCAGGGATTTTCAGACACTACAACTTTTTACCCATCACAATCATTCTCTGTAAAGTTAAAAGAACCTAACCAAGCACAATTTACTGTCGGCGATAAAAGTTAACAGGTTATAAAATACAAGAAAGTTAAAAAATTGACGTCGTAAATATTGAGCTTATTATTCTCAGCACCCAATTAAATGCCCGTTTGTGGACTCTGAAACAAAGTTTAATAAAGCCCAGAGAAAAACAAGAGATTCACAATTTAATCATTTTAAAACTAAAAAATACTTTTGTTAAGTTTAACTTTTCTTTTACAGGTACCTGTAAAAGACACCCGGTGATATTCCACGAGCTTTTCCAACTTAGTGTTTTTTGTAAAAAACTGTGTAACTGTCCTAGTGATAAGCTTCCTGGATTCCTCTATCGTGCAAATTTTTTACCAAAGTGTGTCAAGAAAAATAATGATGCTTTAACCTTCTCTTCACAGAAGAATTAATCAATCGACGTGACTCGCATCCGTGAGAAACTCTTTTATTTGACGTTTGATTGTCTATTTTCAATGATCTCGCGGCTGGTTTAAGTAGCAATTTGAATGCGAGAAAATACACAATCTTTTACATTTCTCAGAATTTTTTTATGTCAAACGTCAAGGGGAAAACGCATAAAGCTTCACGAATTTAGTGTTGTAGATAAGCAAGATTTTTTCCACATATCACCTTCTACAACATATCTTTTTTTGTTTGAAATCAACGATCAGTATTACAATTCACATCCCAGTTTCATGTAAAATTAGTTGTAAATATTTGAGAATCTAGTAGAATGTATGTGTATATTTTTTGTAAAAATCTGTCTCCTAATAAATGTTAAAATTCTTATTATATCTTACTAAAGCGTGATAGCTCCATCGCATCACACCCATGTAAAACGTTCAATTAACCATCTCTCTCATACAATGCGGGGAAAGGGGAACGGTGCAATTTTTATTAGACACTATAGCGAAATATATCAAACTTTAGACAATAAATGATGATGAAAAATGAAAATTCAATTCATCCTTTACTGCAACGGACGGGTGATTTTCGTTAATTCATATTATTTCGGCTAAAAATCCATAAAAATGAAAATTAAACAAAAAAAATGCACCAAGAGTGCCTTGAATTTCAATCAATTTGACACTTCTGTCACTTCGCATCAATGTGATGGTTCACACTCTTTAAGAAAATCAAACGAAAACCTCGGTAATACGGTGATAAACGTTGTGTGTGATTTGAAAAAGGCAAAAGGGTGACGTAATTAGTATTTGTGCAAAGACCGGTGTTGTATTTTTGTAAAGTGCGAGTTCGAGTTGGTGCAACACACCAGAGGTGCGAATGCTCAAAAGGACGAATGGTCAGAGGTCCGAATGTAGGCATTGATCA